GCCACTATACAGGCGGCCGTTAACCATGCCTTTCGGGAAGCCAATACTGAAAGCCAGCGTAGACAAAATGAGCTACGTCTAGCTATACAAAAACTGGCCGAACGGGTCGACGCAACACAAATCGCTCCCGCCCAAGCGGAAGCTCCCCAAATTAAAGCCTATAAACCTATAGAAATTAGGGACGATTTCAAATGTGACGAGCCCCTAGATGCCGTCAACTGCCTGCCCGAATTTACGGGAGCACAGGACGCATACGTCTCCTGGAGACAAGCGGCAGTAGCCGCATACTATATTTTCAGGAATTATGTAAATAGCTCGCGCCATTATCAGGCAGTTATTATTATTAGGAATAAAATAAGGGGCCCTGCCGATGCCGTACTGTCTTCGTTTGGCACTGTACTAAATTTCGACGCGATTATAAATCGACTCGACTTTACGTACAGTGATAAGCGTCAGATTCACGTTATCGAGCAAGAAATGGGTACTCTCAGGCAGGGAAATCTATCCCTCCTGCAATACTACGACGAGGTCGAGAAAAAACTCACCTTGCTCACCAACAAAGCTACCATGTCGTACGAAGCCTCGGCGGCAAAAGTTTTGTGTGACAAATTCCGGGATGACGCACTCCGAGTATTTATCTCGGGGCTTAAGCGCAGCCTCACGGATGTTCTTTTCTCGGCAAAGCCGAAAGATATGCCTTCAGCTCTCGCTTTGGCACAAGAAGTGGAATCTAACCACGAGAGGTACTCCTTCGCGGCTTCATTTGCTAAAAGCCAGGAGGACAAAGACAAAAATCCGTACTGCGCCAAACAACACAAGGCGCAGATACACTCTGCTCCACGCAGTGCAAATACCCATGAACCCATGGACATCGACCCATCGCGGTCCAAGTTTCTTAATCCATCTCAGGCCCCGTCATACCAAAACAGGGAGCCAACCGTGTCCGATCGATCGGGCCTACACAACAAGCAGAAAGTTAACCACGTCGCGCAGAGCGCAGGCGGAACCGGGGAGAAATATACAGCCGCAGCTTCAAGCACGGCTCAGAAAATTGACGACGACGTTATTCAAGATTATGATTCGGACGTCATTAATTTTTAAGGGAATATCCCTGCTACACGTCGGCAAACGACAAGAGGCCAGCCGACCCGGTTCAAACGGAATCGAATGACCCGCAATACGCGATACAGAATACGATTAAACACGCCCAGAATAAGTTCCGCGACAGGAAAAATGCTTCCCGGCAAAACAGGGTTTTCGAAGTTGGCGAAAAGATCCTAGTGTAGTCTAGCAGGCGACTGAGCAACAAACCGTCACCTTTGAAGCGGACATGGGGACCACAGTCCTCATTAAGGGGAGGGTGGTCCACAAAGACAACCTTAGGTAGGCCGAGCGTGACTCAACTATCGCCCGCCTAATAATTTTTCATTCTTTTTATTGTCTTTTCCTAGCCACTTGGCATAAGCTTTTGCTTCCATTATAACTTTAATCATGCTTTAATGGTGGGCTACCCAGTTTCTATTGAATTCACAACACATCCAAATCACAGGTTTTCAACCATAACCTTGATTTTCCTTTTGGCCACAACTTCGGCACGCGTCACGGACTATTCCAAAGCCAAATACATTCCCATCGTTGATGGGCGAATCCTGATATGGGAGGAATTTGCCTTTGTAAAGCACTCAGCAAATCTCTCGGAATATAGGCGCGTCATCGAAGAGACTAATGGGATGACCGTCATGTTCCCGCAATCCCACATGCAGAAACTCCTGGTTGTTGACGTCGCCCACCTACGCGACATGCTCGACTCTTTGAGCGTCCACCATAGAGTAGCAAGAAGTTTAGACTTCTTAGGGACTGCGCTAAAGGTGGTGGCAGGAACGCCGGACGCAGAAGATTTTGAAAAAATTAAATTTAATCAATTCCAATTAGCAAATGCAAACAATAGGCAGATTAATATTAACAACAAAGCACAAATTCAAATCAATAAAATTTCCGCTACCGTCAACCAACTTCTGAGGTCAACAAAAAAGTCCCAAATTGATACTGGGCACCTATTCGAGATGCTTTTAACTCGAAATAGGATGATAGCAATGGAGCTGCAGGGTTTGATGCTAGCAGTGGCACTTGCCAAAGTTAATATTGTTAGCCCCAGCATACTAGATCATGCAGACCTGGAAGGTGTGTGGATGGAAGAGCCCACCGAGACCGCGATTAGGGATGTTTTGTCCGTATCGTCCGTTAAGATCTTACAGTCCGATAACATATTACATTTTATCATTAAGTTTCCAAAGATAAAGTCGGCCTGCAGCAAGATTACCGTCTTCCCAGTGTCACATCACGACACCATGCTCAGGCTGGAGGATAACGTCATTGCCGAATGCAACAGTGAGATCCACACCGTGGAAAAGTGCTCCCCGACATCAGGAGCTACATTTTGCCGATTGGCTCGCAGAAGATCATGCGCCCAAGAGCTTCACGCAGCAAAGCGATTTACACCCCATCACTTATGTTGATGAAGGAATAGTAATTGTGAATGATCGCTCGGCACACGTGTGTGTGGACAATGGCACCTGTGCCCATATAAAAGGCACATATCTCATCACATTTGAGAAGAGTGCCATAGTCAACGAAACCCGATTGGTCAATCATGACACAGCCCAGAAGAGGGCTCCAGGAGTGGCCAGCTTACCTTCCCTGAACATCACCATGGAACGTGACGTTCTCAGCCTTCCATACCTTCACCGACTGAGTGAACGTAATCTGGAGCACATCAAGGAGTTCGGGAAGGAAATTAATCACCAGCTACTACATCAGTTGGTGTTCATAGCGGGAGCAATATGCTGCGCTTTAATTTGCATCGGTTTGACCTATCGGCGAGTCACTCAGGCCCGAAAAACCGCGGCCCAGCTGAAGGAGATGATTGCCCAAATAGGGTCGGCCGAGGGCGGCCTCATTCTTGAGGGGGGAGTAGTTAACTGAAGTTAACCCAGCAGCGGCAATGTCCGATTATTTAAGAGCTCGCTCTGGCCAAACTGCTGACATAGCGTCTGGCCGGAAGCCCATGCATAGCGGCAAGCACTGCACATTTGCGTGGCCGCTATGAAATACTTTTTGTTAGCTTTAAGTTTCAGTTTGTGTCAGAGTCTCGTATAATAAAGAGCATAAAACCAATCTCCGGCATTGCCGTCAATTTTGTAAATTCACTTGTTGAATTGGTCACCGCGCCTCAAGGGCCGTGACAACGGGGCAAGTGCTCCCATCATAACTTCTGTTACAGGAAGGATCCCCCCCGGCAACCGCCAGGGAACTCAACCACTGCCTATAAGGAGTGGCATCACCCCCCCCGCAACCGCAAGGGGAAATCATCTCACAAATACCTCCGGCGTCTGCAGCATCATCGACTGCAGCGAGGGATAACTAACTACCACTATATTTACCTACCAATCAATTTATATTTACTTACATACATACATACGTATGAACAGCGTCGGGAGAAGGGCTGCCCGAGAAGAATACGGGGAATGTTGCGAAAATTTTGGGTTCCGGACAAAGTTCTTGCCTGCTGCTATGCCTGTGCGATAGAAAAAATATTGCTGCGTATTAAGCCTGGTTTGCACGGATAGTTGGCAGTTTTAGACCCTAGGTCTCGTGCCAGATGCGCTGGGCACCATGCAGGCTGCATCCTACTAGATCCTACTCCCTTCCTGACACTGAAAACTTTTAATTTGTGCGTAGCCAGCGAAAGTATATGAAAAATGGCATGAAAACAAAAGTTGCCAGTAGAGTTGGTGCATGGATGCTGGTTCTTGGGCGGAACAGGTCTGGAGGCAGCCGGTAATTGAGGCAAACTGTGAAAAACGAGTGCGTTAAAACAGGCCAAACAAATTAAAAAGGCCATGCCAGCGACTAGGCAACGAGGTAGGCAAGAGCTCGCAAATAAATGAAAAGATAATTAAAGGACTTATTGACAACCCAACTCACACAGATTTGGCTCCTAATTAGTCGCAGCGTTAGATGTTTGTTTAAGGGAGCTGAGATTTTAAAACGGAGACGTCTCCCACAGGACTGCAATAACGTTAAAACGTTAAGGAGATCTAAAAAACTAAAAGTAGAGGTAGCCTACTCCTACTCCGCGCTTTGTTGTGCATATCGATTAGGCAAATTAGTTTTTCCAATAGAAGTGGACACTTTTTAGGACATTATGTAATGTTGTTCATTTCCTAAAAAAGAGCGGAGGGAAGGTAAACTGTGAGATATAAAATACACTAAATTTCAATTAGTGAATTCCGGCCATAAAAAGCAAACGAAGATTCCCTCAAAGCTCTGTCAGAAACAACTCTGACTATGTACATATGTATGTATGTATATGCAGTACATAGAAGAGTATTCCCCAAGTTGGCTTTGGCTTAAAGTTGACAATTAAAAACTTTTTCGGGCTTTTTGTGCGCTCTGCACTGTTTGTTGTTGTTTTGGCTTTGCTATCAGTTGGTTTGGTTGTTGCTCCTTGTCCAAATGAGTTTTTTCCTTTATAAAAAAATGAAGACGAGCGACAAAGTTTGTCCATTGCAAAACTGTGCAAATTAGTTTAGTTTACTAGTGTTTTGTCTTTATCATGGCTGTGTCGTTAAAATGCTTAAAATTTTCTAGATTTTAAATGGAACTGGAGTTGTCTCTGGTTTTGGCTGGGACTTGTGAGTCTTCTTTCCTTCGTTTTTTAGATTTAAAATGAAATTGGAGAAGTCTCCGGCTCTGGCTTCTTTTCTCCTTTTCTGTATTTTTTGCTACTTGGCAAAATTAAGAATTCCTCAACAAGTTGTTCTTACAACTAAAGCTACAAAAGGGGGGCTCGGAGGTTCCGATCCAAAATAAAGCGACTTTTCTTATACATATGACCGTCGAAAGCCAGTTTGGGACATCGACGCGGGCAGAGCTGCGACATGTGGGCGGCAAACACACACAGATACAAAAACCCACACTCACATCAGCACAAAACATACCTCAGAAAACGCTGCGACTGCGCTGCTTCGCTTCTGCTGCTGGGAACTGGTTTTCCTATATACCCGCTATACTTCTGGCTTAGCTTCTCTTGCCGTCGATATCGGTGCGTGTGTGTTAGCTTTGGTGTTTCTCTTCTTGCTTTCCAATATATACACTTTTTGTGGCGTTGCGAAATACTCGATGTCGTTGTCGTTGTTGTTGTTGTTGTTTGGCTACCGCTGCAAGTTCTGCTGTTGGCCCATATGAGACAAGCATTCAATTAAGCCCTAGCACAATTGGCCAGCAAACAAAAGAAATCACACAACCAAACACTGTTGGGGGCATCACCAACACATACACAGGTAACCTGTGCGCTTCACTTGTCGCGCGCTTTTCACTGCTTATTTTTTCTATCTTTTATTTACTTTCTATGAACGCTGGTGGGGGTCGACTTGGGGGGGTCACAGCACGGACCGCCGAGCGGTAGGCGAGCATTCAAACGAGTCAAAGGGAGACAACCCGAAGGGTATTGAGCGGAACGTTTGTTCAGTGGTATTTATGGGATACGGATCAATCCGAAGCCAATATCTTTGAAGCTGAGAGACTTTAACACTGATCCGCTCTTTTGGTGATCCGGCGCTATTTCTTATATTGTTTTAGAATCGCTCTCACGAACCGGTAACGGAATACGACTGTTCCGATACAACGTTCGGACACAACTACCGCGACGAACTGAAAGATACTACAATCTGAAAGAGAGTTTAGAGCCCCCAAAGCCCCACAGCCGGCAAACGCGTTCGATTGGGGACTCCAACTCAAACATGCTCGAAGCCGAGTGGGTGGGGAAATTGGCGGGCTGAATCCCTACCAAGCATTATACACTGAATTCCATCTTAATATAACCTCTTCAAATATTCTTCAAACTTTGGTATATTGTAACAAAAAATATAGCTTCCCAATAGCCTATTTAATTAAAAATCTGAATTTCTTACTCTTAAAAATACTCTTTAAAATATAAAATTCTAGGTCACTTTATTTAAAATAATATATTAAAAATAATAACAACAATAATACGGAACATGAACATGGGGCTTACACTCTTAATTTTAATGTTTATCTTGCATAACAACAAACTATTAAACCTCCTCTCGCTCTTTGGTCGCGTCTGCCAACCTGTTTGAGTTTGATGCTTTTGTTGAACTTTTAGTACGACCAACTAACACTTTTAAGCATTCCAGTTAGTCACTCATATTAGTTTGGCAGCATTAAATAAAAAATATTTAAAGTAAAACACTTCTAAAAATAACAAAGACAGCAATGTCAGTTATTCCATTTTGGCCAAGTCAATAAAATTGCATCTTTAAGTAAAGCTTTCTTTTATTCCATTTGCATATCATTTTCATTTTTCTTCGTTGCTTGATTGTTTGTTGATGTCTTGTCACGAAGCTTTTTACTGTTTTTGCTGCTGCTGCTGATGTTGCTGTCGTCGATGTTGCTGGTGCTGCTGCTGTCGTTGGCGTGGCTGCCGTCGCTAAGTCAATTTTAAGGTTTATTTGAATTTCATGTTTCTAGTTTTTCTTTTGCGTTGTGCCTTGCGTTGTTGCTTTTTACTCAGTCTTCTGTCACTGCTAGCTGATATTGTTAGTGTTTTATGCAAATTGTTTTCAGTTCCCCCACCTTCTCCACTAGCCTACATAGTTGCTAATGAGGCTGGACTTATGCCTGACCATACTTATTGGCTCTCAAAGTTCCTTTCGCACCTCGGACTCCTGTTGCCTGTTGCTTGCGTTTACTGCCAACTAATAACAAATTAATTTTGATTTGAATTATTCATGCTCGGCTTAGCACTCGCCGCCCCCGCCCCACACCCAAGAACAAAAACACAGGCCGACGAACGCAGCCACACACAGGCAAACAAATTAGCATTTTGGCCAGGGATAAACCGATTTGGGCCGAAATAAGCAATTACCGCACGTTGGAATCCGCATTGGATCGAAATACAAATACAATCAAATACAAACCTAAATCAAATTCGACAAATAGCAGGTACTTTGAATCCTGTTCTGGTGAAATAGCTGCCTTAAATCCGATTTATCCTAGACCGCTTTCTCATCCCGTTTCCTGCCTTTAGCAGGCAATCAGCAGAGACGCCGGGAAGTTGAGGGAGCGAAGGTGAAAGGAGACATTTCGACCCCCACTCTTTCTGTGCCGTTAATGATGATGCCCCACACGTGTTTCAGTTTTTCTCTTTGACTCCACGAGCTTGCGTGTGTGTGTGTTGGATGCAGCTGAGCCCCAGCAGGATGCACTCATGCAGCTTGATTGGCCTCCTCCCTTAACTATCCTCCCGCCTCACAAGCCCACAGCCGACTTCTCCTCGCTCGCCAAACGGAAGGCAAATCTAAGGAAGCACAGAGAAGCAAAAGGGGAGCTTCCCTTACTCTATTTTATATTTTGCTGCGTCACAATAAATGGGTTAGGATTACCAAGGACACCTGATAATAGGCTAGTGTCTGTCGGCATAGAAACCAGGTAAATTCTGAGATATGTTTATGGCAGGATATTCCACAGGAAAAGGTATTTTAAATAAAGTAATTACAGGTATTTCAAAATAAACGTCAAGTAGAAGTAATTTAACGAAGGAAGTAACAGAGAGAAAGAGACCTTAAGGCCAGATATAAAAAAGGCAAAAAAAAGCAAACCGTGCGCTAAAGTCTATTGGTAAATAATTGAAACGACTATCTATACATGTAGAGAAAAAGGCTCATTACTTTGACAAATGAATTGGAAAATCCTCATACATACAAACCTCTGTTGAGCTTTGATGCATGATGGCTTCACCCTTCACCTAAGCCATTTAAATTAGCTGCCATTATTTATGGACACTGCCCAGCAGTTTGGTTGTTGATATCGCGCATTTGTGGCTTAATTAGTTGGGCGCTGCTCTAAACCAAGTCTGGACTTGTCATGAGCCGACCTACTGATAAAGCCGCCCACCAAAAACGGCCTCATCATCATCGATGGCGCCGCAGCTGTCAGTGCAGTCTGTGACATGATTTATGCCTGGATTTCCGGAAGAGTCCCCAAAAATATACATGCCAGGACAAAGCTAAACTGTGGCGAAAACCAGACAAAACCAAACAAAACTATTGCTAATGAGGTCCGCAATGCGCGAGGCAAATAAATTTGAGTGAGAGGGTGGGAATAGGATGGGTGACCTTTCACCCCAACGCATACATACACGCATTTCACCCTAACCCGAACTTCAACCCGTTTCCCGCAAGAGCTTCCCCGCTAATGACCGAAAGCGGATTTCGCATTGCAGCCAATTATTATTTCTTGTTTTTCCTTTTTTTCAAACATAAATTAAACTAAGCCGCTGAAGTGGAGGCAAGCCCCTAACCACCGACGATCCATTCAACCTCGCCACCCAAAGTAAGAATGCCCGGTGAAGCGTCTCGGTTTGGTACGTTTCTTGATTCACGGCTAATGCGAGGAAATCAAATTTAATTTTGCGTAATTAATGTCGCCCAAACTTGGCCGTTCTGACCCTTTTTCCTGGCCCAACCCCCTTTCCCTTCGCCTCCAGGTCCAAACTTGACCAAGGTCTGAAACATGACTAAAAGAAAATTCATTAATATGATTTGGGCCCACAGGAAAACAACAAAAACACCACTAGGGCTAAAACAGTCTAAGCACAAAACAAACAAAAAAATTCTAAATGATTTTGTATTTATGTTTTTTGGGTCCTCATCGTGCATGACTGAGCTGGGGTATGCGAGTATACATGGGGCAGACATAACCCTTTCGGAAAAAAGCTGGGGCAAGTCCAGTTGACAAGAGGGGATGCAAATACAGTGTTTGAAAAAAGGATAGAATGGAGGTGAACAGCAGGAGGACTAAAAACTTTGTCACCTAAGTCTCTTAAGAGTGTTAAAGTTCTACAAACTACGATCCAAAAATACACTTTTTTACAAAATAAATACCCAAAGCATTAGAATTCCTCACTTCTTTCCTGCTACATTTTATTTCTATTAAACAACTTCATTAAAATTCAACACTTTCAATTCAAGTTGAAATCAATTACAAATTTCCGTATTTCCGTTTTCGATGTTGTGTCTTCAACACTAGGATGTCGTGCATAGAGTCCTCGCTAAACCATGCTTCCACTTGGACTCGCCGTTTCAGTTAGAGCAGGCCATTAGAAAAGGTTTTAATCAGCACGTGGCATGCATCCTGTTCTGTGTCCACGTACGCGGCGGTGGATTGTTGTTTTGGTGTTTGGCTATCTGTTTGCTCGACTGCGAAAATTGCCTGCTATGACCAGACTCAATCTCGCTTTTCCCATTTTCCCAACAGCCTGGAGTTCCTCCCTCCTGGGGGAACCCTAGCCCCTTGACAGTCTTGTTTATTTGCATTGGCGGCGGCGATGGATTTATGAGCGAAGCCATTGAACTTGCTTCTCGCCATATCTCACCATACCTTGCCTCCCCCACTCGTCCACTCTAGCTCTGGCTGCACAGCCCTTCCTATGAATGCATACCTCTTTGCCGGAGCGTGTGCGTGTGTTAGGAACACAAATATGCCAAAGGCACGCACATAGCCTGAGCCACTTGCAGCCACTCCCGCCCACGCCCACTCCCAGGCAATCGCCACCTCCGGCCCCTTGGACAAAGGCCTCCACCCCACGGCACACTCCTTCGGGCCCGGCCAATTCTGACATTCGCTTTTTGACGTACGCTGCGTATACGCAATTTCTAGCTCGGACTCTGACTCCGACTCTCTAAGCCATGTCCCGGATCACGATGTTAGCCACGTGACCAGAAAATTGTTACCGCTCCTCCTGGTACGGATTCCTTTTTTTGGAAAAAGTTTCCAATAGCTTAACAGCAGTCTAAAAATAAATTCACTCGTGTTGTGTGTTTGAACCTGTGTGGTAAGCGGCGTTTCATAACTCTATGCCATAAAGCAAATGTTTCAGATTCCGCTTCTGGGGTTTCGTCCATATTTCCGATAACAGGGCTTTGAGCTAATTCACCCCCAGGGTTTGGTAACAATACATCCTTAAGTGTATTAGGATCAGCTATCATCTGATTATGAATCGCACTTTACGCTCAAACATAGATGCCTGCGATTACTCATATTTCACAGCTTGACCTCTCCTTTCTCCCTCAGTGGTATAAATAGTTTGGTCCTGTTTCAGCTGTGTTTGCTGCTGCTTATATCCGAATATATATGTATGTATAGTTTTGTGACCCGAAACTTTGGCACGTATGAACGAGGAGGGAGGAAGGGGACTGAACAAGCATGCCTTCTAATACCATAACCAATATAAATGTCATTTATGTTTTGGACACATTATGGAAGCTCCAGTGGAGTGGGCAGAGATACAATGGGAATGATTGAGGGGTGGAGTAGCCAGGATGACCCTCAGAGTGGCAGAGAAAAAAATATAGGACAGAGAAATTCTGTCATGGTCAGCGATACAATACCGCAGCGAATCGGGGACTTTGGATTTGGAGTGTGTGTATAAAAAGGGAATGCGAGGATAACAACAAATACTCGTGCACTTGAAAAGCTCAGACAGACAAACAGGATACATGCAGGATGCACAGAGTGCTCGCCCCATCCTCGAATTCCCGTATCTTCAAACCCAAGTATCCTTATCCGCATTTCTATCCATGCCCCTACACAAGCGCTGTGGTGGGTTGTGATAAGCATTACATTCCACAAATATAAAAGAATGATAGCACCACTTAGTGGCACTTAAGGATATGCAAAAGCTGTAAGGACTTCCGCCTGCGTTTCGCCTAGGCACCTCCAATAGAGACGGCAGAGGATTGCAGGTAGATCCCTCTTCTATTTTCTTTAAACATTGCTTTTCGAAGGCTCGGGTATAAACGAAGATTGATAGCAAGCAGCCTTGAATTCGAGTGGCATACATTGTTAGTTTTGTTAATGAGAATTATCCATTTAGCAAGTGACACCAAAAATCAGCTCTCAAACTTGCAAAAAAATCGCAGAGATCTCGAGGAAAAATATTAATAGACTGCCTAAAACCCAGGCCCATCCATCAGAGTGTTTTCATTTCCATCCGAGGCGAAGAGACTTCGCTTGGTGAACTCCAACTAATGACACGCCGAGTAAGGCAGCGCTCCCCTGCACTCTGGAGCCCGATTCAACTTCCGGTTTCGTGCTGATTCCCCCAGAAGTTGGCAATAAAAGCGGAAGGCGTCACTTTCAAAATGGCGTCATGCTGCTTTGAGCTTTGTTTTCCGCCACAGCCTCCTCTTCCAAGACCGTCGTCGTTTCCACCAACTGTTTTATATATATTTTTTATTTATGCTCTTTCCGGGCTGCTCTTATTATTGCATTAACTGGATTGGGACGCCGGCGGGGGCAGCGTATCCTTGTTCATTTTGTTATTTGTTGCCCTCCATGTTACTTTGTATTATCTTTATAGGAATCAGGACCCCTCCTTGATTCCATCGCCTTCTTGGAATTATTATTTTTTTTATTATTATGCATGTCGCGTGTACTGCCGCAAAGACGGGAAACAATATTTATTTATTGTAACCCTTTTCGTTCAGCAGGGTTGTGCTTGGAGTGGCAGAAGGGTGCCAGGGCCCCTCAAATACACCATAAATATGATATGGCGAATTCCTTAACTGTCTCGGTTGGGGTTTGAGCAACCTTCGTCAAAAGCCACCCAAAGTCTCAGGTCACGCAGTCTAGCTTCCAATTTCTGTTAGTCAAACTATTAAATTTTGAACTAATAATAAATAAATTTCATTGCCCACGGCACACACTCCCCATCTCCCAACTCAGTCTACTTCTGTGTGCTTTGTTTTCTGTCAACTTTTTGATGTCACATTGCAGGGTTTATCTTGCTTTTGTGTGCTAGTATTTGATTTATTTTGAGTATCAACAAAGCTGAAACATGGCCGCTAATGGAGCGCATTTCCCTCCCACGGTCCAACCTGCGGCCACACATGGAAAATCATGGCTAAAAATGAATTTATACTGTCAGTGAAGTGATTCGCAATAATATGACTTTTGAGGCTTAAAAACCGAATGCATTTGTGTGCTGATGCCAGAGGGCTACGGTGCATATTTAAGTAGAATAGATAGCATTTTTTATAGATGATTTCACCAAAAAACTGTTTTGGGTAAAAAATATTGAAATTGAAACTAGGTGCTAAGATATGTACTGTTTTTTAGTCACAATTCACATAATACAAATTCTACCAAAATAAAGAAAAACAGAACTATCATAGTACCAGAAACTAATTCTAGCTTCTAGCCTTATCTGTAATCTTTTTTAAGGTTTTCTTGTGAACCCAATCCAATTCAAATTTCCGCGCCGCATTGTGTTTAGCATCCACGGCACTCACTAGCTGTTCTCTTTTATTCGAAATGGAAACGAGGTGACTTCAAAAATTCGTCTCAACGGTCTCAAGATTTAAAATTTAGAATAAGTGGAATTCATTCTACTTAAAGGTTCTACAGTAAAAAAATGTGTTACTTAAAAACTATAGTTGGTGTAGTAGTAGGGTTGGTGAAGCTTTTTCACCAACTAACTTACATTCACATGCAAAGCAAGTCCTTAGCAAAGTTTTAAAATAAAACAAGAAAGGAAAGCTAACTTCGGGCGGAGCCGAAGTTTATATACCCTTGCAGTTAAAACCGGATATATATCGCAAACATCGGATATAGTTGGCCGATCCTTATGAAAATATGATAACATAACCCAATTTAATATAATACAAAAACCAAACCTAAAAATATCCCAAACTTCTATCTTCAAAAACACAAAAGTTGGGTAATTTCCGATCGTTCAGTTATATGGCAGCTATAGGATATAGTCAGCCGATCCTTATAAAATTTAGTAGGTTGGATCAACTGACCAAAAATAGAATCTGTACTAAATTCCACCTTTCTATCTTCAAAAACACGAAAGTTGGGTCATTTCCGATCGTTCAGTTATATGGCAGCTATAGGATATAGTCGGCCGATCCTTATGAAATTTGGCATGTCGTAATGTTTTGCCAAAAAATGCTCTCATGTCAAATTTGAACTCTCTAACTTTAAAAACGTCAAAGTTATACTATTTCCGATCAATCAGTTATATGGCAGCTATAGGATATAGTCGGCCGATCCGGGCCGTTCCGACTTATATACTGCGTGCAAAAGAAAGAAGGGTGTGTGCAAAGTTTCAAGACGATAGCTTTAAAACTGAGAGACTAGTTCGCGTAGAAACGGACAGACAGACAGACAGACGGACAGACGGACAGACGGACAGACGGACAGACGGACAGACGGACATGCTCATATCAACTCAGGAGGTGATCCTGATCAAGAATATATATACTTTATGGGGTCGGAGATGTCTCCTTCACTGCGTTGCACACTTTTGGACAAAATTATAATACCCTCTGCAAGGGTATAATAAACACACAAAAGTTATATTTTGAAGCATTTCAGTTTGGTTTGGTTTGACCAAATGACAATCATAACAATTCAAAACCACCAGCTTTTAACTCACCTGGTTATCGCACCTTTTCGCTCTCATACTGCCCAGTACTGCCCATTTTCTCCTGCTTTTGGCTATGCTTCCCGCTTTTTCGTCATTTGCATTGTCAGCAGAGTTTGAAGTGTCCACTCAGCACGTCTGCTGAGCGACTACCGAACGACCGATCGTATTTGCGGAATGGGGGAACTCAGAATCGGCAGACAGATATTCTCACCTGGCATCATGGGCCGACCATAGGAAGTCAACCGATCGCAGGTAGCCGATCGCAACTGCGAGTGAGATCGCTACCGATGGGTTAAAAGGGCCGCTCTGGCCTGCGGATCGACTCAGTCTTTTGGAATCGCCTGGCCCGGGCCGGCCTTTGGTCTTTTGTGTCGGGATACGTTTCAAGAAGTTGACGAGCTCACAACAGGTGCTGTTCCCACTTACCCGGCGCCTCACCCCCGCTGTGATCGTGTGAATTGTAGAAGTAGTAGAGTGCGATGAAGAGCGAGCGGCCGGGTCCGCTGCGCTGGCTACGCCATCTGCTCGACGAGCTCCTGGTGCGCCTATTAAGTCTGCGGTTGTTCCACTACGAAATTAATGATCCCGGGCTGGAATTGCAGCCCGTTCCCAAATTCGTACCCATACCCAGGGTCAAGGGCTTGCCAATCGTGGGGACTTTTCTGGATCTGATCGCTGCCGGAGGAGCCATGCAGTAAATTAGCAAATCTAACTGTCCAAAAAATCTCACCTCACGTCACTAATTTTTTCGACTCTTCCTCAAAAAGCCTTCATAAGTATATTGATGCTCGCCACCGGCAGTATGGGCCCATCTTTCGGGAACGCTTGGGCGGCACTCAGGATGCAGTGTTCGTCTCATCCGCCAATCTGATGCGAGGCGTCTTCCTGCACGAGGGTCAGTATCCGCAGCATCCGCTACCGGATGCCTGGACGCTCTACAACCAGAGGCATGCCTGCCGACGTGGACTGTTCTTCATGTAAGTGGAGTGAGCCAAATTAGTCCGATGAATTGCAAATGAACTACGATCTCCTCTATTTCTGGATGGGAGCAGGGAGGGCGCCGAATGGCTGCATAACCGACGCATACTTAATCGGCTGCTGCTCAACGGAAATTTGAATTGGATGGACGTGCATATTGAGAACTGTACCAAGCGGTTGGTGGACCAGTGGCGGAGCCGAACCGCGGAGTTGGAGACTACAGTAAACGTTACGGAGCCGACGTTGGACGAGAGTTGCGAGAAACGCAGTTACGAAGTACCCCAGTTGGAGCAGCAGCTCTACAGATGGTCCATTGAAGGTATGATAGTTTGTTCCCTAGGCATGATCCCTAGGCTTACAAATATTAAAAGGAAAAAACATTTTAATGAATTCTCGTTAACGCTTTCTAGTGCTCTGTTGCATCATGTTCGGCAACACAGTGATCACCTGCCCCGAGATTCAGTCGGCCCTGGACCACTTCACTCAGATTGTGCACAAGGTTTTCGAGCACAGCTCACGCCTGATGACTTTTCCGCCAAGATTGGCTCAGATGCTGCGTCTGGGAATCTGGAGCGACTTCGAGAAAAATGTTGATGAAGTGTTGCGTGAGGGAGCTGCCATCATTGATCACTGCATAGAACTGCAGCAGCATCAAGGGCCCAAGGATGACCCCCAACTGCCGCATGAGGAGGCCCTCTTCCAGCGCCTGCAGGCTGCGGAGGTCGCTGCCGATATGATTAAGCGGATATTTGTTGACTTGGTCATAGCAGCAGGTGACACGGTACGCAGATGAGTCTCATATTCCATGTTAAGCTGGATCTAATCTAATTTCCACTAGACCGCCTTTAGCAGCCAGTGGGCATTGTTTGTGCTGTCCCAAAATCAGTTCCTCCAGAAACGGCTGGCCCGAGAGCGAGCTTCCCATGGCTCCCAGTTGCTACACGGTCTGATCAAGGAATCTTTACGTCTGTATCCAGTGGCGCCATTCATAGGTCGCTATCTGCCCCAAGATACGCAACTGGGTGGACACTTCATCGAGAAGGATGTAGGTTGACCGAGTGTTTCGAAAAACTTTGTTTCTAATCCTTTTCCCCAACAGACTCTGGTGCTGCTCTCCCTATACACAGCCGGGCGTGATGCATCCCACTTTGAGCGTCCTGAGCTGGTACTGCCGGAGCGCTGGTGCCTTGGACAGTCGGAGCAGGTGCATCAATCGCACGGCAGCCTGCCCTTCGCCATCGGTCAGCGGTCTTGTATCGGACGTCGCGTGGCATTAAAGCAGCTACATTCCCTCTTGGGTCAGTGTGCTACCCAGTTCGAAATGCACTGTCTCAACGAGCAGCCCGTCGATTGCGTTCTCCGCATGGTTACTGTTCCGGATCAGACCCTGCGTTTGGCCCTCCGGCCGCGAACCGAGTGATACCCATACACCCATACAACGTAATCGTAATATTAACACTAAAACTAGAGTTAAATGTAATCGTAGTTTCTTTAGTTTTATACAAATACATATATAAAAGTCACAACTATAATCAGATCTATGAAAACAGCGCCAACAGCAGGTTATAGCCAATGACTAAAGAGCTCAAAAGGATGAGGCCCAAGATCGGGGAACCCCAAAGCACTTGTCCAATAAGCAGCGTTAAACCGATCGTTGCGAGAACGGGAAGGGAGCCAAGCTGCCGCAGACAGACACGAGGAGGAACCAACCTTTCGCAGAGGACGGTGTTTCCAGCACGCTTGTCAAACCACTGCTCCGTCATGGGGGCATACAACAGCTGCCTTGCAACCTTGCCACAGTAGTCATCGCGAGTATAGTATGCTTGGATTTGGCTGCCATACTGAAATAGCAACAAAGGGAGACGGTCATAAATAATCATGCAGAAATAAACTTTTGAAACCTTTACCTTTTTGTTGATTTTTTCCGAAAGGCAATATAGTAGCCTAACTAGGGGCTTCACTTCGTTTGTTCGGACGGGCATTTGCGCCGGATCAATGGTGGCCTGAATATTGGAGGCATTCAACGACATTTGATGCGGGTTTATCTTTGAAGTATCTAACGAGTCGCTGTCGTCAAAGAAACTAAATTTTTGTAAAGGGACCGCGGAGGCTGGCGCACAAGTTTCCTCGGGCATGTTCTCATGTAAAGACAAATTCGCTTGATCAACCTAGATTAATATAATTATTGTTAATTGTTTTAAAACTTTGTATATACTACTCACATTAAAGGTTCGACAAAAAGCGTCTATGCACTGACGAAGCACTTCTGGTATTCGACTGAATTCGTGTAGTGTCACTTCGTCCTGGGTGCTTTCCCCGAAAAGCTTATTGAAGAAATTAATAAGAAATCCGTTTGATCGCTGTTTCTCGGCTATCTGATTTCGAAGAGCAGCCATATCTCTGTGAATAGAATTCCGACTCATGCTAATCAGGAGCAAGAAGTTTTCCATTTGCAACTTCATGGTCTCGCTAAACAGCTTTGGAAAGTGAGTACCAACAACCGGACTCCAGTGAACGCCAGGGGAAAGGGATTTGCTAAAAAACAACAGGTGAAAATGTACATTTCTTAAATATCAAACTGTGACCACTCACTTCATCATGTTGACTTGCCGCTGAGGGGAATCAAAACCGTACGAGTTGCCCGCATTGAGGCGCTCGTACCTCTGAAGGCGATCAATTAGATCATTTTGGGAGAACATCGTGGCTAGGCGGTACAGCATGAAAGCATTCCGGTACACTGTGTAATCCAGACGTTGGAATCGCGGTAAAAGCTGTATGAAGATGTGCGTATACATTATGAGGTTGTCTATGATAAAGCCATCAAAGCAGGATGAAATTGGTGGAAGGTAGGCAAGTCCAGATCTGTAATAAGTAAAATTGGTAGAGAAATTAAAAATGGTAACAGGATCTAACTACTGTTCTATCTACTCACGACTTGTTGTTCAAAGCTGCCATGGTATAACGCCAGGGTTGTATATAGCTCAACCAGAGCTCTAGCACCACCATGAGAGAGCTATCCAGCGGCCAGCGATCAATTAGGCCGCAAATAAAGGCGTAGATCCGTGATTTAACCATACCTAAGGATACCTTACGCAAGCAACAAAGTGAACTGTGATCCTGCGAGGCACCGTTAGCAAAGAAATGGATCTGCTTTACTAGGGTGCGTACTCCGCGTACAAAATCGCTGCTTGGAAGGTGGTGCTCCGACTCTATATCGTAGCGCAGCCAAATGTCCACAAAAAAGTGCAGCACACTCTCGGAGCGCCAGGCATATGCTCGAGCGGCACCTGTACTGGCGCCACTCGACTGGGGGGACGTATTACCGGCGCTGGCATTGCTGCTTGAACTGACTCCAACAGAAACATTTCCTCCGTTAAGGAACGACGACGGTATTTTAAGGTAACGTGGCTGCCTTAATGGCTGAAGAGCCTGTGCTGGTAGAGGCTGGGGTGCCTTTACACCACTACTAAAATGAACAGGCTCTATTCGCGCATCTGGAAACAGGGGCAGGTAGTTGTTAAGGTACTCAGATACCAGTTTAAGATACACGGTTTTGCTTCGCACGTTGTGTATCTGCATAGCGATCGGATTGATGGAGTGAAGGGGTTGTAGGGCGTACAAAACGAAGTGTATAATGTAGAAGTCGAAGGCATTTAGCGAAAGCGTCCCTAACTGGTTCCTTAATGGGTCCATATTTATCAGATCCCCATAAAACATTGGATTTTGCCCCGCCTGCAGCATGCTCACAAATTTAGCCTGAAAAAAACACGCATTATAGTCGAAAACTAAAACAAGAGGAGCTGTATTTACCGGCAGTAGGCTGACATCCAGCTCGAACTTGCACTGGTCAGCCAAGAGGCGGTGACACAGATGCATCCAGGACCCACAGATTCCAAAAAACTGATGCAGCATTTGGAACTGCAGTGGATTGTTCTCCAGCGTTGTCGTCCGCAGGCCCCATCCCAAGGGATTACCATTAATCCCGAAAACAGAGTGCACGATGTGGGGATATATTTCCTGGATCTGGCGTAAGGAGCATCTGTCGAACAAGATACTTAGTTCCTGAAGGCGCTCCAGCAGAGGAAGACTCAAAACAGTAAGCACGCGGCTCTGAAATATTCAATGAATTTAATGCCTCAATGGGGTTTGCGCAGCTCCAGTTACTCACGCCCAGGTTCTCTGGCGGCATAAGCTGTGACATGGTTAGTTCGTCAGTGCTGAATCAATCTAAAATTACTACAAATTTATTTAAATTCTAATAAAACTTTGCCGGCGTGTGGTAAACAAATAAAATCGAATGTTTTTAAATCGAATTCTTATCGATTAATCGGTGGGGCAACATTTACATCCTACATTTTACTTACATTTTACATTTTACATCGTATGTAGGAAAAAATGTTCTAAAGAAAAAAAATATTTTAGAACTTTTTTTTTTTTTTTTAATTATTTTTAATATTTTGATATTCCTAAATTCTTAAATACTCTATTGAGTATCTACTTATCAGTAGATAACTTAAAAATACAAATACGTTAATTATATTGATATATCGATATGTTAATAAAAAGTGTGGAATTTTTAATCGGGTAGTATTTTTGAGCGCTCATAGTACTGCTACACTCCTGTTTCAACCGGCGTTTGTTTTGTGTTTATATTTCGGTATTTCAACATATTTTGCAATAAATATGAAGCGAAGGAGCCAAACTCAGGCTCAAACGCCCAAGGATGACAACAAGAAATCTAAGGCAATGTCGGGAGCGCTTACAATGTCTCAGTTAAGTTCCGATGTAATTTGGCAGGTGGGTGCTCCGCTGAGAAGTAGTTGAATGGCAAATTAATGCCAAACATTTCATATTTGCAGCTGGCATCGAAATACTGGGCTCCTGACACGAAAGAGGACCACTTGCCCTACAGCGCTAAGATTATTGAAAAGATCTACAGCGACGAAATTGCTACCGGGAACCCCGGACACAGCGCCCGCCGAATCAACATGCTGGAGTTTAGCCAATATTTGGAACAGTACCTGTGGCCTCATTATCAGAGGGAAACTGCCACCCATGCTCACCTCATGTCGATTGTGATCATGGCTAACGAGAAGTTCCGTGAGAGAGTCGAAGTTTGGACTGTGTTTGAGAAACTGCCTGACCAGTATCCATCCTTCTTTCGCCACGTGCTGGAGAGCTGTCTGCCAGCCGATGGTGGCAAGGAGGCAAGGAGCTCATTGCACGAACGTACTTCCCTGTTGATGTTTCTCAATCACTGCTTCAACAGCATGGAAATCGAGCTGTGCCGCGAACAAGCCAAGCGGTTGGTGTCGTTGTCCATGTGGCACTGCCTTCAACCGCGTGAGTGACAGCCGCTTTTTGTCCTTCTAGCTTTATACATGGCCTAACCATAACTTTCTCATTGCAGGGCGACGCGAACAGGAGCTGCGGGATGTGCCAGAGTGGCGAAAGTACTGGAAACGTCTGCTGAAAAAAGAAAAAGACACCAAGCCCGAAGTCATATGGGAACGCCACTTTCTGCAGAACCTTATCATTGACTTCTTAAACATCCTCGAAAGCATACCCGCAGAGGGCGAAGTGAAATCCAACGTGGTGCAGTACTGCGAGCGCTTTCTGGAATTCATCATTGACCTGGAGGCTCTGCTCCCCACACGTCGCTTTTTCAACACCGTGTTGGATGACTGCCATTTGATTGTACGAGCCCTGCTTTCGCCGTTGGTTCGGCGTGAGGAGGGAAAACTATTTGGGCAGGTGAGTGTCAGACTTTTAATTCAATTACTATCTCGTACAGCATAAATTAGTTAAGTTTAAGTACAAATCTCAATGTTAGACATTGCTAAATTAAAAAACACTTAAAGTAGTGAGGGCGGGTAAAAGGTGACGTCTCAGTAGTCGTTGCCGTTCATGTAGTGCAGCTCATCGCCCCAGTCATTCGCCGAAGGTGGTTCATTGTAGCAGCAGGTTTTCTTTAACAGGAAGGTGACGTGCCTCTGGCGCAGTACGCATATGTAGAGCAAAAGTGGGGCCACCAGAGCGTTCATTATGATGTGCGCATACAGCAATCCTTCCAACTGCAGCCAGGTCAAGATAAGGAAGAGCCAAGATATTGACATCACCAGGAGCATTAGTGAAAACATTATAAAGCTGAAGACGTTGGGAAAATTTGGTTATAAGTCGCCGTTTGGTTGAAATAATCTACTTACTTAGCTTTTAACTTATGGGCAATGCGCCCGTAAACAGTCCGCCTATTTATCAGCTTTCTGGTGGTCACAAAGAAGAAAATATTGACCAGAATAGTACATGCAATTGGTGCAAAGAATATGCATATTCCCAGCAACCCGATCGTCTCCTGTTCGCCTACTAGGTTCTCCTGCTTGTAAGACTCTGCGTCCAGGAAAAAATGGGCAAAGACGGCCATGGCTGCCATTGTTCCCGTGCATCCCCAAGCATAGGCGGAGTAGTAACAGTACTTTCGGCCATCCGTAACCCGTAGGAAGACGTTTCTCGACCGAAACGTTTTCCAGATGTAGTAGCCGAAGCTGTTTAGCCAGAAGAAGGCTGCAAGCAAGCTAAAGCACAAGATTATATCCGCAACAATGAAGCTAACATGGCTGGTCAGTTCGGTGAAGATGCGAACCAGGTCGGCCGCCTGGCTGACCATCAGACACACGGCAATAGTTGTTACAATATTTCCCACCAGATCTCTGCTGAATGGATGCAAAATTAACGAATGAAGGGGGCCTAAGTTCAAAAATTCTCACCTTAGAGTAGGCAGTATAAAATAGATAATGGCTATAACCAAAAGAACAATCAGTGAGATACCATGGAAAATGGGATTGAGAATCTTGCGGAGCAGGAAGTTTGAATCATTCCACTTGATTTCCTTGTGGGCCAAGCAGATCTTTGCGAAGAGTACCTGTTCGTCGCCAGTGCTGGAGGTAGCCTGAAAATAGATTTCAAATTAGCCGTCTCCTTGGCTCAGTTTAACTAGAGCATACTTTATCGATGCAGTACAATCCATGATCGTAATCGTGAAAAAGTGGTTCCAGTGCGCCGACAATGTCTTCCTCGTAGTCCGTCCGAATGCCATTGACCTCCTCCTCCTCATCCTGGGCATTGGTGAAGTGTCTTAACCTCCCATCGTCAAGCAGTATCAGCTTATCAGAGCTCTGAAAGATATAAACCCTTTTATAATTATCAAAAGTTTTGTAAGGTCTGACAGCCACTCACCCCCACATAGTGGTATATGGGCCACATCTGCAAGGAGCCACAGTTGGGGATGCCGATGACGAACTTGAAACGAACGGGCCTGTTCTGCGACCCATCATAGCTGGTGAACATTGGCTGAAAGAATTCTGCAAGTGGAAAGCGAAGATTAGAGAGCAGCGCATGGTAAATTATTAAGATTCTGCCGCCTCTGTTGAGCCTATAGACCACTGGGAAAAAGATCTATCTCCCCTTCTTTCGCTTCGTCTATAAATATTTACAAAGAACGTGAGCCCCACGATGAGTTGCCATTCCGTCCCATCCATCAGTCTGCTTTCAATTTTTTTCCCCATTTGTGCGGATTTGTTCTCCTCCAATTGCCGCATATTGGATGCATTCGTTCATACTATTGATATGTTAATCATAGCTAACTGCACGGAAAGTGGCCTGCATGTGTTGATTATGTGCTAGATACAATTGTGGCATTTGAGTAATCCTAACGTTTTAAAATTTGATGACATCACTTTGATGTAACCTCAGTCTAAGGACAATGATTCATACCTATAAAACCTGGCTTATTACTATACCAATTATTATGTGTCACATTTTTGAATGCTTCAATTCTGTATAAGTTTTTTATTCCATATTTCTATTGTATAAGTCTGACCCTGAATATTTTATGTGTCTGTTAAGTATTAAACAGATAAGAATGTATTTTTAAGTCCAACACTCCAAAATTAATTCCAATATTTTAAAAATAGTCTTGAAAACTTATTTTAACTCGTCTTTAAATTTTTCTTTAATATTTGTTCACAAAAAGGCATTAACTCCGTAAAAAAATAATAAGTAAGTCTCCAATTCGCCATAGGAAATACTTCTTGATTGGTGGGTACCAGCTCTGGTATCCATCCTATTAATGGATTTTCCAGATTTTATTCCATTTCCAAAATAATTTGTTTTTGAATAGGGAAGTCAGGGGCTCAAGTGGATCTTTAATGGTGAAGCACAGAAACATTCCACGCGGCATAAATCATACATTTCATCAGGACTGGGGCCATCATGGTCTCTGTTTGTTTTAAAAACTTGTGAGGGGTAGTTGGATGGAGGGGGGAAGTGTTGGCTGCGTTCCACTGATCCACTGATAGCTAACAAATGGGCCATTCAATGTTGGGCACACATATGTTGCATGCCAAGCTGCCGGGAAAATCCATAAAGTTGAATGGCCAACCAACTTCGTTTTGGTTGTTATGGCAACTTGGAGGAAGGAGCGAGAGTGTGGAGTTTTCCAGCTGTTGGACTCACCCGTTTCGTTGACCTGCTGGCACTCGTTGTCCACGTGTATTTCGAATTTCTCGCAGCATTTGTTGACCAGCACCAGGCTGGGATCGGGGGTGGGAGCTAATGAGGATGACGCAGATCCACTACTGACATGCCCCGCTGCCAGAGATGGGCCGAGCAGGAGCAGAGGAAACAGCGGCACAATCAGAGAAAGCAACAGAGCGGAGCAGCTGCATTTTGCATATTGCCGGCCCGCAAAATGCGCGCCAAGCGTTTTTTCGAGCATCTTTTGCACACTCCGACAAAGAAACTAACAGATACCGATACTGCTACCACCACCGAAACAAATACCAGCGCAGCCGAAGGGGCACACAGGTAGGCAGCCACAGCCACAGAGGTTGTTGTTGTTTACAAAGATCTGTGCTCAAGAAGAAATGCGTCATCAAGGTGGCAGTAAAGCCGGCTGCGAGCCAAGATCATGACTTGCATGCCAGACCAAAAGTAAGGCGACACTTTTTGTGTGACACAACACTCTCACAAAGACACAATAAAGCTGTATGGGAATTGGCTAATAAACAATGGCAGCTTGGCTTCCTCGTTAAATGTTTGTATTTGAATCGGAATCGGAATCGGAATGGAATAAAAACACGAAGAAAAGTACAACCGATTCGGAGCGATGTCGGAGAACGAATGACTCTGGCGTGCTCTTAACTTCTAGTGACTGAATCGGGGAGAGTATCTGAGAGCGTTGAGTTGCTTGAACCGAGAGAGTTGCTCTGACTGAACCTCCCTTTCTCTTACTTTCAAAGCAGGGCTTTGCAGGCACTCCTATGCATGAAGCCCCTGCCTGTCTAGATAGTTCCTCCTCTCCCCCATGTCCGCATGTTGTTTAAATTGAGGGTCGCGACGGAAACCGTCAATTGGAGTGGAGTAAAGCAGGAACCGGCAATGTCTGCTTTTGTGTGGGTTTATGCGAGGGGTTTTGTTTGCTCCTCCGTCAAGTACTACCCTGCCCCTTCGTCTTTCTCCCTCGAGGATATGAAGATAATGCGCTGTGATAAGATGCAGCGTGGTGAAAGCGGGACGCGTGCCTTGTCGCCACACTTGTCGTCTCGCACCTCCACGCATGCATACTTGAGGAGCTTGAACAAGGAGTCACAACAGTATTTTAAAGACTTCCCTGCGACCCAATATTCAACCGAAAACACCCTTCAGCTAACCTTCAGAACAGATTTTCATTGAACCCACGCGCATATCACCTTTCCGGGACATTCTCGAATTTCCAAATACCTCCTTCCTCAACCAAGGACTTCCGCTTCATGCTCACCTTGGAGTGCTTAATTAGCACTCCCTTACACACACATAAGTAGCATTTCACTTATCTTCCACCAACACCAATATGCATCTGTGTTAGTGGTCTTGCCCAAACTGATGACGTACCAGCCTTCTTGGAGCAGGCCGGCTTGGCTACCTGTGCACTATGGGGAATTTGCCCGATTTCATGGTATTTAGTCATTTTATCAAAGTTTAAATATTTGGGTTTTTTTTATGTAAACATATTAAAAACATATGGCTCCATATGACTCCATACCAAAAATATTAATAAACAGTGCACTTTTAAAGCTTTGCACTGTTAAAGTCAGCTGTTGCAGCCCAAAGGCACGTGTTTGAGAAGAGGCAGTTTTTGGTTAGCTACTTTGAAAGTGCGATACTTAAAAGTTAAACAAGTTATTAATTCAATTTATGATGGAAAACAATCATACTGGCTTGTATTAAATGTTTTGTGTACTAATATTTTGCTATGTGCTTGTCTTAATAATATTTAGTCAATTTTAAAACAGGTTTAAAAGGTAATTTTTTGAAAAAAAAATTAACTTTACGTAGACTTACAAAAAAAACATATCGTTGCAACAGTGTAAGTTTAATATATGTCGTAGAGCCATTAATTATGAATAAAAGGAAATTTGTCTCAATGTGCAAAAATGCGCACAATCTGCGTAATTTCGTTTTTTGTCAGGTGTCTTCGAGTTTTCGAACGCGGAGCTTTTTGAAGTATGGCGTACGAAGACGAAGAACTCAAACCAAGAAAAATCAATTCTTGATTTTATTTCGAGCAAAATAAGTAGAAACATGGATGTTGTAAAACACAAAAATAATTTGAAAAAGAATAGCTTATTTTGCCTAAATATAAATGGTAAATGGAAGATCTGCAAGAGAAAAAAAAAATTTTTTGAGAAGAAGTTTGCAAATTGCCTGCAAATTCGGAACTTAAGAGTTATATTCATTTTCTTGTCTTGTCAACTGCCAATTGATTTGGAGAAATTTGAACAATTTTGTTTTAAAACTGGGGAACAAATTGTGGATTGTTATCCATGGTTGCCAATGACGGCAACTGTTCACAAAATTATTGTCCACTCAAGGCAAATTATGGAAAATACAATACTTCCCGTTGGCTGTTTCGGAGAAGAAGCGTCGGAAGCACGCAAAAAAAGTTATAAAGAAGATAGACTGCATAACCCACGAAAGCATAGTCGTGTTAATAATTTCATGGATGTTTTCAACAGAGCCTTAGATACTTCTGATCCTGTTATTTTTTCAACAAACCCTATGAAGCGAATTCGGAAGCATAAAAGTATGGAACTTCCTTAAGAAGTTGTAAGCCTTTTATTGTGCAATTTTGAAGGCCAGGATCAAATTGAGAAAATTGGAGATGAAATTGACGATTTTTATTTTATGTCTGACGAAGACCTTGAAAATGAAAATATTTGATAAACTTATTAGTGTATTATTTGGTTTTCACTTTATCAATTTTTCTATTTGAAATAAAAAAAAATTGTTTCTAGTCCTGGGAGGGCGAATAATAAAAAAAAACAGTTTTGACAAATCTTATTTGTTTAAAAAGTTATTGATTAATTTATCCAAATGGGAGGGCGGAACCACGCCCATTTTACCAAGAAATATTTCCAACGATCTTCATAAGCCTAATGCAAAAAACCGTTTCGAAAAATCTTGTTTAGTTTAATAGTTAATAAATAATATTTCGTCAGGGAAGGGGCGGAGCCACGCCCATTTTTCTAAAAACATTCCTATCGGTGTCTATAACAATAATAAAAAAACCGTTTCGAAAAATTTTACTTAGTTTAAAAGTTATTAATTAATACCATGAAATCGGCCAAATTCCCCATAGTGCTGTGGTGTGGTATGCACTAGTATACAAGAGACGGCTAAGGTTGAACAAGAGTGCTATGAAGAGAGTTTCCGAATGATTGCTTGAGTTTGGAGAACTCGCGAGTACAGGTAGTACAACAACAAAACATGTTCCGTTCAATGCACGCGTTTGGTGAAACGAACAGGAGCGGATCAGTGCACGTCTCGTTGGGAAAAGACACATTCAATTCAGACACATTATTGCTTTGTAAACATTAAACATCAAACTAAACATTTTTCGATTAGCTTATCTCAACCATATTAGAATTATATGTGTTAGACGGTATTATATGTAATTTGGGGCAAAAGTTGGGTAGTAAAGGAGGAATTATTGTCCCTTGTATTGTATATTCTCTTGTATTTTGTATACTAAAGGTCTATAAATCTTGTTTACTTAAGGGGATATACAGTTGTACCGCGCAAATATATGGATTTTTATCGATTTTTTTTTGACACCATAGAAAATATTTATGAAAAATGTTTTAACGACGTTGTTTAGTACATGTTTCTGGGTACTTCATTAAATTTTTTCATAAAAAAATATTACATAACAAAAATGTTATAGCCGAATTCCCGGATTTTCTTTTCCGATGGTGTCTTGCGGTGGACATGATTTCTCGAAAACGGTTCATCCGAAATCCAAAATTCAAAAAAGTTTAGTTAGTATATTGTATTGTCTAGTCCGTGAACGAGGGATTTAAAAAAATTTTGACTAAAAAAAAAATGGCGACGTTTTTAACAAAAAATGTACTTTTTCAAGGTATAAGATTTTCGTTTTTTGTGCTTTAAAAAAGTAGTTTTCAAAAAAATTGAAAATCCCTCGTTCACGGACTAGCTAATATCATAATAAATAAGTGATCAAAATTTGGTGTTGATCGGATTAGTAGTTTTTTTAGTAATCGTGTCCACCGCAAAGGTAATTTCCCCAAAAAAAGATTCTGAGATAATCGCGTTTAAAGTTTCAAGTTTGTTCAAGTTTTATATGCAGATAGTGCGATAAAAATAGCTACAGCTTCGGTTCTAATGCTCCGATCGTTATGAATTTTTGTGAGAGTATTCCCAATAGAATATACTTAAAGAATATGCAATAAAAATATCACAACTGTATGCAAAAAAAAATTTTCATATATCACAACTGTATATAACCCCTTAAAAGGGCATTTAATTTGGACTCCTTCCGAAATTATCTTTCTTTTAAATTCTTTTTTTGTAAACAATTTAACCTTATTTTGTTATAAACATGAAACATTAAATTAAATTAAATCATTTATTTTTTAAAGCTTTTGGACATGCTAAAGTTCTACACCCGCTTTGAGATCAATGATGTCACGGGAAACTCGCTCACCGACCACGACATGACCCAATTACACTACAAAAAGATCACCTCCTTGCAAAGAGCCGTGTTTGCCAAGTTCCCCAGCCTGCGTGTTTTCGCACTTTCCAATGTGGCTACGGTGGACAAACGGGAGTCATTGGAGCAGCACTTTGGTGGCTTAGATGGCGATGGCCTTCGCCAGATAGCCACTTTTCTCAACCTGGTACCGGAGGAGGTGGTGTCCCCATTGGACTGGCATCGCCTCGATGAGCCGTTTCTGCGTGAACTCTTAATCACCCGCCACGAGCGACGTTGCTCACAGCTCGAGGCGCTTAACGAGATGCCACTGTATCCTACGGAACAGATTATTTGGGATGAAAATGTAGTGCCCTCGGACTACTACACCGGTGAAAGTTGTCTGGCATTGCCGAAGCTGAATCTGCAGTTCCTCACCCTGCACGACTATCTGTTGCGGAATTTCAATCTGTTTCGTCTGGAGTCCACCTATGAGATCCGACAGGACATCGAGGACGCGGTAAGCCGTATGCTGCCCTGGCAATCCGAAGATGGCGATGTGGTCTTTGGTGGGTGGGCGAGAATGGCTCTACCAATTGCCAGTTTTGCTGTGGTCGAGGTGGCCAAGCCACATCTCGGGGAGAATAAACCGTCGAGAGTGCGAGCCGATGTGGGAGTGACTCTTTCTGTTCGCCGGGAGATCAAGGAGGAGTGGGAGAACCTGCGCAAGCACGACGTCTGTTTCCTACTCACAGTCAAGCCAACACAGCCCTATGGCACCAAATACAATCACCGGGAACCCTTCCTTCCCCAAGTTGGCTTGGTCAGTGTGCGTGGCTGCGAAGTGGAGGGCATGTTGGATGCCAATGGCAGGGTTATAGAAGATGGTCCAGAGCCCCGACCACAGCTTCCAGGAGAACAGAGAAACTATCGTGTTTGGCTGGATTCCAATCAGTACCGTCTAGATATGGATGATTTGCAGGAGGTGAGATAAAAGAGCTCCAAATATTCAACCACCAATTAATAACCAATGATTCTTTTATTACCAATCTCAGGGTGCCGATGACGTCTACGAGAGCTTCAACATCCTGATGCGTCGTAAACCGAAGGAAAACAACTTTAAGGCAGTTTTGGAAACCATTCGCCACCTAATGAATACGGAGTGTGTTGTGCCGCCATGGTTACATGACATCCTCTTGGGCTATGGCGATCCGGCTGCCGCTCACTACAGCAATATGCCCAACCAGGAGCGTAGTCTGGAGTTTAACGATACCTTCCTTGACTACAAGCATCTGAAAGATAGTTTTCCCGGCTATGAACTGAAGTGCAGTGTGCCGGAGGAAGGACGCCTGCCGCCCTACCGTCTGATTTTCGAGGACGTGCCTGTCCAAAGTGAAAGCGACGAGGAAGACCAGAAGGAAAAGAAGGTGGAATTGAGCAAATCCATTGTGGTGCACTCCTATAAATACGAAGCGAGGGGTCCTTACCCTAGGAACAAGCCGAAACAGTGAGAAATGTTTATAATAAGCCAATTACAGATAATGTTAATCCCTATTTTTATTTCAGAAACTCTATTCGATTTACCCCCACCCAAGTCGAAGCCATTCGAGCCGGCATGCAGCCTGGTTTGACCTTAGTAGTGGGTCCGCCAGGCACGGGAAAAACTGACGTTGCCGTGCAAATTATCTCCAATATTTACCACAACCATCCCAATCAGCGTACGCTGATTGTAACTCACTCCAATCAGGCGCTGAACCAGCTGTTCGAGAAGATCATGGCCCTGGACATCGACGAAAGGCATCTACTTCGTCTAGGCCACGGAGAAGAAGCCCTGGAAACCGAAAAAGATTACAGTCGCTATGGTAGAGTCAACTATGTTTTGGCCAAACGAATGGATTTGCTCGACCAGGTGCAGAAGCTTCAGACAGCGGTCGGAGTGAGTGGTGACAATTCATATACCTGCGAGACGGCTGGTTACTTCTACCTATACAATGTAATGGCCCGCTGGGAGAAATTCCAAAGTCAGATAAATGTGCACAGGAAGGAGGCGGATGCAACAAAGTTAAGAAACCTCTTTGAGACTGAGTTTCCCTTCAGAAAGTTTTTCGACGATGCTCCACAGCCCTTGTTCAAAGGCTCTACCTTTGAGGCCCTAATGGACACAGCTGTTTCTAACTTCCGCTACATCTCTGACATCTTTACCGAACTGGAGGAATTTCGAGCTTTCGAGCTGCTGCGCACTGGCTTAGATCGTTCGAAGTATCTTCTCGTAAAAGAGGCCAAGATCATCGCCATGACTTGTACGCATGCCGCTCTAAAACGTAAGGAGCTGGCAAATCTCGGCTTCCGTTACGACAACATCCTAATGGAGGAGTCCGCGCAGATCCTGGAAATTGAGACTTTTATACCACTGCTTTTACAAAATCCCCTGGACGGTCTCAATCGTCTGAAGCGTTGGATCATGATTGGAGATCACCACCAACTGCCGCCCGTGATCAAAAACATGGCATTCCAAAAGTACTCCAACATGGAGCAGAGTCTGTTCACCCGACTGGTGCGTCTCGGTGTGCCCACCGTGGATTTGGATGGACAAGGTCGTGCCCGTTCTAGTATCTGTTCTTTGTACAAGTGGCGCTACAAGAAACTTGAGGACCTGCAGCACATCTTTGAAAGGGACGAGTACAAAAAGGCGAACTCTGGCTTCGCCCATGATTATCAGCTTATAAATGTTGATGATTTCAAGGGCGTGGGTGAGAGCGAACCAAATCCTTACTTTTATCAAAACTTGGCGGAAGCGGAGTACATTGTAGCTGTTTACATGTACATGCGCTTGCTTGGCTATCCCGCTGCCAAAATATCCATACTTACCACCTATAATGGGCAGAAGCATCTTATCCGCGATGTTATCAATGCTCGCTGTGGTAACAACCCGCTCATTGGCTGGCCGCACAAGATAACTACGGTGGACAAGTACCAGGGTCAACAGAACGACTACATACTCATCTCACTGGTTCGCACCAAGGCAGTGGGACACTTGCGGGATGTGAGGCGTTTAGTAGTGGCCATGAGTCGTGCTCGACTCGGGCTCTACGTGTTTGGAAGGGTATCACTTTTCAAAAATTGCCTGGAACTGCAACAAACATTTAAGCTGGTTAGTTTTTGATAAAAAATATTAGTTATTCACTTATCTAATTCACTTTTATTTTAGCTTACCCAACGACCTCTAAAACTAAATCTAGTTCCCGGAGACAGCTTTCCTACAGATCGTTTGACTAACGATCCCGTGGGCAATGAAGCCATTAGGACTATTGAGAACATGACCGAAATGACACAGTTTGTCTACGAGCGATATATGGCCAAGATGGAGGAACTTAAGGGCACCCTACCCACAGAAGAAGAGCTACTGGCTATGCGCAACCAACTTCCCCAGGAGGACGAGGAAAACGTTAATGAAGAGCCGCCAGAAAAACGGCCAGCCAAGGAAGAACCTGTGTCAAAGAAGAAAGCACCCGAGGCTTTCAAGCCTACTCCAATTGTAAACGAAATAAACATGGAGGAGCCTGAGGCGAATCAACAAGAGGGGAACCAAGAAGACACTACAACAGAATCGCAAGACCAAGTTGAATAGTCTTAGGTGTTATTGAGATGCTCCAATAATTTTATTTGAACAAGTTACAACAATTTTTAAGCGACAAAAACATAGACCACACCTTTAAAACTAAACTTTTACTCTACTTCTTGGGTGCGGTGATGCCCTCCAATTGGGCCTTCAGCTGGGCATTCGTCTTCTTCAAGAAGGTTATCTCCTCGGTAAACTTCTTCTCTTCAGAAGCCCGCAGCTCAGCATTGCGACGTTCCGCCTGTTCCTGCTTTAGCTTCATGTCAGCAATGATCTCTTCGAGCGCCTCCTTGTCCAGCTCTAGTGTCTTAACGCGGTCCCGCAGCATTTCCTTCTCTTCATGGGCTTGTAGGGCTTTGCGCATGCCGAAAGCCACCGAGCTGCAGTACAGTGTTTCATAGGCCTCCATTGACATGGCGATCTCATCGCGGATGCGCAGCAACAAAAGGCCACGTTCTGAGCAGTTGATAGTCACCTGGCGAATGATTTCGTCTGAAGAGGAGAAGATAAGGAAGTATAACTTAAAATGGAGAATGCGAAGCACTTACCAAAGCACTGCGAGTAAAGCTCACGCCGCACAGGGCAAATACCCGTTTCGCGAGCCTGGGTCTGTTGCAGTCTCGTGTCCAGCATCTCCTGAAGATTAATCACATCCTGGCGCGTGGCTGGGGTGCTGGACACCGACTGTTGCCATAGCTGACCATCTTCTTCCCAGCATCGTGGCGGCAAAATGGAGTTCAATATTTCTTCAGTTTCCTTCTTGGTATCTAGTAACGCTCCCGCGGTTTGTGGTCTTTTCATCTCAATCTCAGTCAGTGGGGCACCCTTCTTGTCCGGGTGCTTGACCACCAGCACCGGGTTGTTGTAGCGCACCAGGGTCTGGAACTGGCCCACGCTGGTAATGTCTAGTTCGTCCATTGCGATATTTTATATCTTTTTATAATTTAAAATTATAAGTCTTTTAGACCTTATCGAAGCTTGTGTGTTTTTGAAATGAGTTGTTCGATTTTTTCAACGATTTGCTTGATTGATTGATATGTCAAAAATGCCTGTGCTGGGAAAAATTTGTAAAGGGTGTTTATTAGGGTGGTCTCCCTGCACCACGTAGCAACCTGGAAAAACCGGGCAACCGAAATGTTTCGTGGAAACGATGCAAATATCAACAAGTGCTAAAAGAGGTCCTGTCGGATGCGACATTACTGAAAACCCATAGCCCGTTTGAAGGAAAAAAATGCTAAATTAGTTATTTATATAATATATTTGATGTAAATGCAAACACAAATGAGTTTCTGGCTCTGTCCGTGAGGACCTGGACAGCGGTCAATGGTAACTTAATTCGTTGCACGATTCCAATTCTCTCCAACTTAAAATTATAAACTTATAAGTATGAGCAAGTTTGGCTAATTAAACTATAATCTATTGAGCTAAGTGTTAGCGGGCCAACTTAATATAATACGGAATTGGAAGAGCGAATAATTTAGTCTTTTTAGTGGTACAACTTAGGCTGTCATTTAAACTAATATCGCGGAAATATTCGAGTAGACTGAACCGTGTAGGTGCAAATGCGAATGCAGACGTACATTAGTAACTCTTACATATTCATATCGTTTCATTACGGCTAGACATTGTCAATATATAATAGTACATATATATTATTGTCATTATTTATGCGGGAGAATTTCCATTATGGGCTCTTGAATTTCTGTCCTGGGTTCTAGTTAAACGCTGGCTTACCAGTTACAACTACGCTATGTATATATTTACGTTGTCGATATATAAGTATTTTCAAAGTGCCTATGTACGTGTCTAGAATATTTGATGGTGTATACGCAACGGCGGACTCAAAGATGCAACGGAACCAATTCGGTCGAAAAAAACCACGACAAACTACACGATACACAGCTACTACATAATTTACACATCGCCTTGGGCAGCTTCTGCTGGTCCCGACAAGGCTTAGATGAGCTCGGCCACAGCATCGTCGCCGTCCCGGATGGGGGCCTGGAATGTGGATCCCGTAAACTCGTATAGCTGTAAAGGGATACAAATATTTAGCTTTTTTAAATAAGGATTTAACAACGCCGTTCTTACCGAAGGAGCTCGGTTGTTACGCAGTGTGGCGTAGTCCGCAAACTCGTTCATGTGTGGGTCAACCCGGGCCAGGAGCAACCCGGCACCAGCCACACCCCCGGCACTAGCCCCACCACTGCGCATAGACCCACTGCCGGCTCCACCGCCGGTGAGACGGTTCTGGTTGCTTCGGGGCTGAATGGTGGCGTAGGTGTTATCCACCGACTGACCAACATGGTCGACCACCGGTAGGCAGCGGTGATCCAGCTGGCCCGGCGCTTCCGAGTTAGAGATGTGATCAGGCTCCGAGAAGACCTGCATAGTCAGCTCTTGCTCCTCATAGAGCTTAAGTTTTCTGTAAATAAATATGTCAATCAGTAGAGCTCACGGAGTTGGGAATCAATAACTTACTGTTCGATCCACAGTGGGTTCTCGGTGGTGTTAAGGTCTTCGATAATCTGTTTTTTAATCAGAGCCTCCTTTCGTCGCGTTTCCACCGGAACCGAAAGGTTCCAGTGCTTCAGGCAGCAACAGAGAACGATGAAACTGATGACCCCAACGAATAGCACTATGACCAGAGCTACCAAACCAGCTACGGCCAAATCAAACTCATCCTGGACAATGGCTATATAGGCCGGCACCACGTTCTCAATGGCAAAGCCAGCATAGTAATCCTGAAAGAATAATCCTGATTTTTATCATGTTTAAGGGATAAATAATATTTAGCACAACCTTCAAGTAGTCGTAATTCCTGTCTATATCCTTGAGTATCTCATCAACAGGAGCTATTTGCTGGGTTTTTGGATCCACCGCATGGAAGTATAGATCGCACCAGTCCATGCGAATGCGACCAATGGAGTCTAAGTGAAAACGAATCTCGTCGACGATAATGCGATGCTGGGTGGCGTTGCGCAGCTCGGCTATGATCTCTTCCTGCTCCTGATAGACCTCTTCCGGGGGACGGGAAAGAATCACACGGACCAGTTGGGTTCCATCAAATACCCAAATCTATTAAAAAAGGTACAAAAATATTCAAGTGAAAAGGTTTGGACGAGTCGCTTTAACTCACATTGACTTTGGTGCTGGCCGAACGCTGTGGTTGCTCTATCTCGCGGGCGATGATCTCCAGCTCGAAGTGATCCTGGTTGTACTCGGCCATTATGGTATTGGCAGTGATGCGGCCGTCTTGCGAAATCGCGAACGGGCTGGGCACAATCGACCCTGTGGCCTTGCTGGCGCCAAACTTGTACAGATTGGAGGCCACGATCATGTACTCGATCTTGGCGTTCTTTCCCTGGTCCGCGTCCGTGGCATTTACGAGGGCAATAGCAGCTCCCATCTTAGCATTGGCATTGACCCCGGCATAGTATACAAGCTTCTCAAATATAGGGGGATTATCGTTCACATCCAGCACAGTGATGGCCACCTTGGCCACAGTGCTGTCGCGGTTCAGGGTCTTGATGGAGAAGGCGGCTCTTTCCTCTTCAGAAATGTGCAGGTCCGCCTTGATGCTGGCCAAGATGTACAGAGTGTAGGAGTCGGTCTGTTCCCGGTCGAGGCTTTTGTTGGTGTAAATGTCTCCTGTTAGTTTGTCCACGTAGAAAGCCCCGTCCTCGTTACCCAGTAGCATGTAGTAGAAAATGTCCCGGTTGTGCTTGCTCCTGGAGGCTGCCTGGATGTGACCGATCTTAACATCCCGGCCGCTGTTCTCATTGATCGACACCTTGTAGGGATTTGAGGCATCGGGGAACTCCGGCCGGTTTTCATTCGCATCCACAATGCTGACGCTTAGAAGACGCAGAGATTCGAAAGGCGGATTGCCGGCATCTCTCGCCACCAGAATAATGTCGTAGCTAGGAACGAGTTAAACAATAAATTAATTGAAGTTTCTCGAGGAAGTCTTGCTGACTTACTTGGCTCTATTCTTGCGATTCAGCTGGGTTCTGGCTCGCAGTTCTCCCGTAACTTCGTCGATCTTGAACTCCCCTGTTTGCTGCTCATTCCTGTTGTTTACCTGCAGATGGTAACTGATCTTTCCGTTCTCCTCCGTATCGTTGTCCGCCGCCTTGACAGTCAGGAGAAGATAATCTGGCTGGACAATGTCCCCGGGGATCTCAATAGTGGCATTGGATAGTGCGGGAATCAAAAACTCCGGCTTGTGGCGATTGACTCTCAGAACTGTAATCGTAGCCGTTGCCGTGCTCTCCATGGTACCAGATCCCTGGGTGTCCCGCGCCGAGATGGTTAGCTCGTAGACACCGTGCTTTCCAGCCAAGCTCTGGGCGGGATAGACGATGCCCGACTGGGCGTCTAGTTTGAACAGGGCCATTTCGTTGCCGGCCGTTATTATGTAGCGAACGTCTCCATAAAGACCCTCGTCCTGGTCGATGGCCTGGACCTGGAGCAGAGCAGCTGGCGGCTGATAGGCGGCGTTCTCGGCTACCGTGGAGTTGTAGACATCTCGGGTAAAAACAGGAGCATTGTCGTTCACATCCAGGATGTTGATGTGGATCTTCAAGGAAAAATCTTCAGTAAAACGAAAATGTTATTTATATGAATTACTCACCGTGGCTGTTGCCGATTTTTGGACAGTAGCAGGAGCCTTATCTTGGGCCACTACCGAGAGAGTTAGCTCCTTGATCTGCTCGTGGTCTAGGATGGAGGAATTGGCCACCATCACATTGCCCGTATAGGCATCAATACTGAAGTACTTGTTGTTCTCCCCTATCAGCGTGTACGTGATCTCACCGAAGACGCCCACATCGCCGTCATGGGCCTCCACCTTCCCGGCCACTGTGCCCCGCGTCGAGTTCTCCGTAATATTGAAGTAGTAGTCCGACTGGGTAAACTTTGGCTCGTTGTCGTTCAAGTTAATAATGTCCACGACCACATCGGCGGTGGCTGTGAGGGCAGGCACACCGGTGTCGCTGACGGTGGCCAGGAACTTCACCTCCTTTACCGCCTCGTAATCCAATTGTGCAATGGTGTATATCACTCCGGTGGTTTGGTTGATGGCAAAGTAATCATTTTCGCTTATGTTAAACTCGCCAATGCTTGAGTCCTCGTCAGTGGCCTGCAGGGTAGTCAGTACTGTGCCGATCGGCTGCTCCTCCACTATTTGCAGCTTGATTTGGGGTTGCTCCACACTCCACGGGGCGTTGAAACGCTACAATTTAGTTTGGTCCATTATATTGTGTAATAAGACAATGTCAATGTTAAGCGTATATTAAAGGCGGCAACTTAGGAACTTAGTTGTTGCTTTGGTTATAGAGTCAAAATTACAAAATAAAATAAAACTTGCTGGCATTTAAAAGAATGAATGAGATACCCTACTCCAAGCTCAAGCTGCTCTTCATCAGTGTATTCAACATACTCCACAATGCCGCCTATCTGAACGTTTATCGCTTATACTCTGATATAAGAAGCGTTAAGGTGGAGGTCGACAATTCCGAACAGGAGGCTTGGATCAGAGAGATCTTCACATTTCTCGTCACCAGTCTTGTAGTGGTGCGATTTTTACTGTGTTTTGTGGGCCTGGCTGCGAGCATTGTGGCCATGTGAGTAGGTAACCAAACTTATAGCTTATCAATAACGCCTGCTTTGCAGCTATCCCATCCTGACCAACTCCCAGGCCGAGCTACTAATGCCCACGATCATTGTTCAGACCATAGACAACGTGGTTCTGAACCTCTACGAGATGATGTTGGGCTATGGAAGCCTCTGCTTCCTATATCCCACGAGCACGCCAGTCTTTGTCTTCTTCCTCGTCAAATTAAGCCTCAAGATTGCCCTGAGCATTTCAGTCTTGTATGTGTCTTGGGTTACAACAGATCCTATACTTAACTAGTTCCCCTTTTCTGTAGGAATATATTCTCGGATCAACACAGCCACTTGGCTAACCTGGGCAGTTTTCAGGAAGAAATGTCTAGTTTAGGACCAGATAGTATCGACGAAATCGAGCTAACCAACCAAAATTTGGTCACTTAGGGGAAGTTTACTCAGGGGAAGTAGAAACAAGTTTACTCACCGGTGGAATCTTATTGACATCTATAATCTGAATTATCAGCAGACCACGACCCTGAAAGAAACAAATGCGTCTTTGACAACCGAAAAGATACTTCACCAACTTGATCCCCTACCTGTTGCACGTTGGGGGCTGTACTGTCTGTAACCAGGACGTTGATGCGCATGACGGCAAACAGATTCCGGTCCAGCTGTTTGTTCACAAGGACCTTTCCGTTCCTGGCGATGGCGAAGTACTCCTTGAACTGATCGTTGTGCGGCAGCTCCTTGCCCTCCTTGTCGATTGCTGTTATGTCGTCAGTGGCTGCGAACTCCAAGGCATTGTGGCTGGCCACGTCAGGATCAAGAGCAATCAGAGTGTGCACCAGCTGCCCAGGAGGGGCATCCGCTCGGACCTCTGCGTGCTGAGTGGCGGGCACGAAATAGGGATCCTTGTCGTTGCTGTTCTGGACGTTGATCGTCAGAGTGGCGGTCCCGGTGAGACTTGGAGTGCCCAGATCGGAAGCCTGCACCTGCAACTGGTAGGTGTTGCGCCGATCGAAGTCAAGTTTCCGGGAAACAAACACCTGCCCAGTACGCTCGTCGATTCCGAAGTCATCGAAGCTTCCCTGCTGGATGCGGTAGCGCAGCTCCGCATTTTTGCCCGTGTCCAGGTCCGTGGCATGCACCCTCTCCACCGTTGTACCGATCTCCGAGTTCTCCTCGATCACCGCGTTGTAGGATTCCTGATCGAAGCTGGGAACGTGGTTGTTCACATCCCTCACGGTGATGTTAACCCCGCAGCTGGCCGTGAAGAGTCCGTCGTGGGCCTCCACAACGAAGATTAGCTGGTCGCTGTTCAGGTTGGTCACGTCCAGGCTGGCATTCGGCCGGATACTGATCTGGCCACTTTCGCGGTCGATGTCGAAAATGCTCTCCACCTGCTCGGATCCACGGATCCTGTAGCTTATGCTGGACATTGTGTCCGCGTCCCGGGCTTTCACAATCAGCGGGGAGTCGAAAACCACAGATCCCTCGTCCACACTCGCCCTGTACAGAGGACTTTCGCAAACGGGGGGCGAGTCGTTGGCGTCCGTTACGGAAATTCGAAGGGAAACTACTGACGTTGAGCCGCTACCATTGTCATCAGTGGCCTGTAGAGGAGGAATCAGTAATTAGTCGTTATTTTAAAATTTTAAAATAGTCCCCATATTAGGTTTTGATCACCTAAAAAGAGAGAAAGCTACAAAAAACAGAGCCTAATTGTTAAACTATACTCGTATATTATAAAGCAAGAAAGGAAAGCTAAGAGACAACTTTTTTGACCAAAATTATAGGGTAAAGGCATATAGGGTATATAAAAAAAACGTTTTATTACCATAAGGGCATACAAATATGATTCAAAATTTTTGTGTGAAACCCGAATAATCAACAGTGTAAATATTTGGCAGAATATTATTTTGAATAGAATATTATTTGTACAAATAAAAGATTATTTTCAGCTTTCGCGGCAGTAAAACTTTGTTTGCTTGTAATTCGAGGTTGGTGATAAAATTTTGGCTTGTTGGGCCAATATTTGCTATCCAGTATATTCCCTATCCTCATTTAAATAGTCTCGTTCCCTTTGATATTTTTAAAGGAGATGTTAATGTATCGAGCCAGTTTTTTCTACTCGTCACGCATGTGAAAACATTCCCACCCATGCCCACACGCGAGGATTGAGACAGTCACTCACCTTGTATGACAAGAAGTACGTGTTCTCCGTTTCGTAGTCCAGACACGTCTGCGGAGCCTTGTCGTCATTAGCAGTCGCCGCGGGAGCTCCAGCAACGTCTCCTGACGAAACTGGAACTGAAGCTGGCACTTCTGGAGCGGCTGGATGCTCTGGCGCCTGCGTGATTAGCGTGTACTGAACCGTGGGCTCAGTGCTTATTTCCCTGGGAGCCTCCTCCACGGACCGCGTTTCCAGGTGACCCTCTGCCGACCCGTACTCCAGCTCGCCTTCCGCCAGATCCCGCCGTTCGCGTCGACTGCCCTCCCCTTCGCCATGGCAGTTGGCCAGGCTGATGACGCCCGTCTGCTCGTTTACGTGGAACAGTTCGGCGCCAGTGCCAGAGAGGCTGTACCGGATTCCGGAATCCCCATAGCTGCCGGAGTCCACATCCTTGGCCGTTATAGTTGCAATGTACTGACCAGGCAGTGCCGCCTCCGAAATGGAGGCTGAGTAGCTGTCTCTCTCGAAAACGGGCTTGTTGTCGTTCGCGTCCAAGACGCTCACCGTAATGGTCGCGGTGGAAGACAGGCGGGGATTCGTATCAGTCTCCTCCGCAACCACCAGCACAATGAACTTACGCTGGTTGGGGTTCTCGTAGTCCAGAGTTCCGTTGGCCACGCGAATGTTTACCTGGGAGTAGCCCGTGACCAGCTTGGGCTCTACATCGAACACCCCAGACACATCTTCCAGGCGCAGGGCGAACTTTGAGTTGACGCCCACGTCCGCGTCGCTGACACTCATGTCCAGGGCCAGGGGTGTACCGGGGGGCGTGTTTTCCAGGAGGGACACGGCGTACTCCTTGCGGTTGAACACTGGCGGGGAATCGTTCACATCCCGAATGGTAACAGTAGCCTTGGCCGTGGCACTGGTCAGTGGATCGTCGCTAGGCACTCCGTTTACAAGCTCCCGGGCCCGAATACCAAGTGAAATGATTCCGGTGGAGTCTTCCAGAGCCTCCCGATCCAGAGGTTTGGCGGTGCGCAGTTCCCCGGAATGTGCGTCCAGCAGGAAGTAGTCACTAGGATCTGCAATGGAGTTTATTAATATCGGTAGTGTTAGGTTCCCTATGATCATACTTGTGAGCAGATCATAAACTATCTTGCGCGGCTCCCCTGTGTCACCATCCCTGGCATGCACAGTCAGCACCAAAGTGTTTATGGGGCTGTCCTCGTCGATTACCGTGGAGAGAGATCCCTGGAAAACGGGCGGCTTGTCCTGCACATCCTTCACCCTAGCCTCGAAGGTGGTTTGGGTTTTGTGGAGGCCGTCGGTGGCCTCGATCTGGAAGTGGTACACCATCCGCTGGTTGTAGTTCAAAGTGTCATTTAGCACCACGGCAGCATCCAGAACTGTCGCCTCCTGTTTCGTCACCTGCAGCCGGAACCTAAGGGACAAGACCATTGTTACAAGTGGGGTCCTTTCTTCGGGGCGGATACTCACTTCTGGCACGCCTCGGGACTTTGCTGCTGAGGCAGGCACTTCAAGTCCAAGCTGTCGCCAACTATATCCCGGTCCTTAACTAGGATCCTGTCAAAAATGGTTGTGCCCACCTTGGCGTCTTCGTTCACATCAGCCTCATAGGGTGTCTACAAAACATAATTTGTTGGGAGATCGTTATCCTGAAACGGTTCAATCATTCTTACGTTCTGGAACTCTGGCGCATTGTCGTTCTTGTCGAGAATGATGAAGGTGATTGGCACTTGAACGATGTTGTCCTTCTCGGATTCCCCCTCGGGGTCCACGCGATCTCGGATCGAGACCAAGAACTTAAGGCTGTCCTTCTCCTCACGGTCCAGTGGCTCGACAAGGGTAATGTTTCCGGAAATGGGATCCACACTGAAGTGATCCGATCCAATGGCGCCAAAGGTCACCGGGCTGCCTTCCGGGTCGTAGCCCTCCAACGTGAACACCACCGTTCCCACAGGCACATTCTCATACAGAACAATGTTGTTCAGGGTTTGCGTAAAGACTGGCGGTAGATTCGTCTCTTCTAATGGGAGAAGGGGATTAGTTGTGTCGTACCAAGCTATAATCTTTAAGACTCACCATTGGCATGGCCCAAGGCCAGCCAGATAAACAAAACCCCCAGCGAAAGCTTCATGGTGAAGCCTGCAAAAAAAGAAGCAAGAAATACACTTTAATTTTTTGTGTCATTTTGAGCTTTGAAATTAAAAATGTGATTTTAAAAATATAGCTATAAAAATGGTGTATACATATTTGGGAGAAAACTCAGGAAGAGTAAGACTCCGTTCAGCCAGCAATATGGTCCAACCCGGTGCCTCGTGGGTGTGATCCAGTATAACTGATCAGCCACCTTAAGACAGCCATACTATCTTAAACATTTTATAACGAGTAGTCCTTTTTAATAAATTAAATATACTTAATAATAACCATTAATAATTAAATTAATAAATCATTCTTTCGTTATGAATTAATTAATTTTAGTTCACTTTTTAATTTTTTTAAGTAAAATAGATGCATGTAAATTAATCAAAGAAACTTTCATTTATAACCCCGATCTTATTACTGCATAAAATGACTAACCATTCTGCAAGTCAAGTCGGAGACAACTCAAGTTAATATAAAAGCGTCTTACTTCCTCGCTTTGATAGTGGACTCCGACTCATTGGTCTTCTTTTTACCCTTATAGAGTATATCAATTTTGTCCCGATGTTTGTAATGAAGGATGCTACATTGCTTGCAGTCATCAGATTTGAAAATTTTTCAAATCATATATAAAATCTTCTTTAATATAGTCCTCAGATGTCCAAAAGTTTTGATAATTGGATTAGAAAGGTAAATATTTTGTAAAATACAGATTTTCCCATGCAAACGCGCTCCATGGCTGTTTTAAACCCTCATATTTTAGGGTACTTTGTATTTCTATTTGATGTTTTTCGGCCGCTGCTGTGTTTGTTTTTGTTTCTCGTCATTTCGTCCGCGTAAACAAACAATAAAGATAAATTAAATTTCATTTCGTGCTGAAAATTCAATTAGCTGACAATGCACACGGGCCAGAGAGAGCGTGACAACGACGCTGGGTGCGGGGGCGGCGATGCTGGTGGTGCCACTGCTACTGATGATGATGGTTATAACAACATAACGATGTTGATGACAAGCCCAACAACATCGGCGGCGTCAGCAACAACAGCAACAAGAAGGGGCAAGGCAACAGGCAACATTGTGGCAAGTTGTGCACTTTAACCGGGGGCACAAAGGGCCAGAAAAGCGCCCGAAGGCGCCAACATTTCAGATGTGTCCGTCCACGTGGCCGGGTGTCCGGCACGCACCCACCCAACCAGCGGCGATGCGGGTTCGGGGAGTGCTTCGTGCAGGGCCGTACATATCTGGTAACCAGCAGGCGGACCGGCCAAAGGATGACCACACAAACAGGCCAAGGAACAGGATTACACGGTGGAAAATAATGTCTCCGATTGCAACTTTACATTGGTGTCCATGTTGCAGGCACGCCTCGAATATGACTATTTCACGAAATTAAGATAACGTTTTGCTTAAATCTTGATATAAATTTTGAATTTTTGGCCAGTGCATGGAACAGAACAGAAGCAACAGTCATGTGCCCGAGAGCAGGCAGAGCCAATTAGTTATGCATAAAAGCCCGACTAAATATTTTCAGTTTTGCCATGTTTTGTGGGGGTTTATTTGCTTACAGCTCCGGCCAAGAGCCTAAATGGGCAGCCCGGACACACATCCATTTGGAAGAGTCTGTCTGGGCCACGTCGGGTCCGTAAATTCACCTACAAGCGTTTTCCCGAGCTCGGCCCGGCCATAAACTGCACATTTTAGGGTTAAGCGGGTTGTTTTCGGCTCTGCTGAGGGTTTTGTTGAGCTCCGAACTAAAACTTATTCCCCCGCTCCCCGGAGCCACAGCCATCTGTAATCCTCACCGCAGGTTCAAAGTTCATGCAGGAACTCGGAATGCCCTTAATGTTGAATATACTCCGGCGGGCCAGGACCTGAGGCTGAGCGTTCGCACCGGCAGCTCTCTTTAAGCTAAGAAGGGTTTATGGCTTGGTTCTTATTGGAAGGTCAATGGAATGGGGGTCTGTCTAGTCCCCTGGTAGCTGAGATACACTATCCCCGCGTCCGATACACGCAAATTGAATTCCATATTCAACTGGTTGCCACCTCAGTGGGATGCACAGCCAGCCTTTGCCGCCAAAGCTCACAGTCCCCATGATCCGGATGATATATGGTTTTCGGTTTAGAATCGGTTTCCAGTGATGTTCCCTGTCTGCTGTGTGGATGTACATATTTGGGCAGGCTTTGTCCTGCTGATTGCAACTCCAAAGTGAGAATTTATGGATGTTTAAATCATGCCTGCCGCAGCAGAATAAATTTGTTTGCATTGTGGAATAATCAATGGGGATTAAATGTCTCTAATAGACTGCCATTGTTGCCGTGTTAGCCAGGACCCTAATGACTGGTCCAATGACAGCTTGGCCAGCAAATTAAATTGCCACATAAATATCTCCTGCCAGCACGCATAAATCTCAAGCATTTTGAGAAAATTCCGGACCAACTAATTGCCAAGAATTTCGTCAACATTTCAGGCATGAAGCATGCTCCAGTGCGGGAGACAGTCATAGGTTGTGTAAAGGTGCGTTTTCATGCAAAAATTGTTGCAAAATACCTAAGAATTACTTTTCCCTTTTGTGATGTTTGCTTGTTTTCGCAATATTTGTTTCAAGAAGCATGCCAGGAAGAGCACTGCCCCTCAATAAGGGCTTTATTTTATTTGAGAAGCAACCCACAAGCGAAAACCAGGCTCGAATGGGCCTGCAATGTTTGACTTTATCCTTTTACATCCAAAGTCCTTGGCTACCGAAAAGCCGGCTTATTCACAGCCCGAGTGGCCGAAATCCTCGCAACTCACAGCTTCATTTTCATTAAAAAATTCGAACAAACTCGGATATGATTTCCGCAATTTCCTGGCCTTGGCGCTAATAGCCCACAATATCCAGGCAATATCTTTTATATTTTTCACCGGTTACTTGCGAGCCCGCCCCCAGTCCAGGGCCCGGGCCCTGTGTCAATATTGTACCACGGCCATTAAGGCCCACCCAGCCACGCTCATTCAAAGGCTCCCATAAATACACATTGGCGCGCGGTCGCTGGAGCATAACCAATATCAATCATACAGTAAATTTATATTGCATTTACATATTTTCCTCTTCACGTTTGTCAATCCAAAGCCGAAATGTGATGGGATGGGCGGGCGAGGGCGAGGGCCTGGGACTGGGACTGAGGCGCTTTCCCCTTTCAGCCCAACCTGTTGATGGCCCAAGCCTTTCGGGCGGTGGCTGCCACAATCCATCCCCCGGGTCAGGTCGTTTGCCCATCCCCGGCTGCTTCCTGAATGGCGTCCATAAAAAGCCATGTGTACCTTGAGTCAAAGCTGCCGTCCTCCTCAGGAGCCAGCTGCCGTTGAGTGCTCCGCAAACTTGGCTTTGGATTCTTCGCCAGATTGCTTGCCCATCCCCTTTCGGGGCTTGTCAAACATAATAAATCATATTTATTTAAAATACATTTTGCGCTCCTGCCAGCCGCTCCCTCCTGCCCTTGTCCTTAAATCCATCTTCGGGGACTGGCAATAATAATTGAATTAGGTGCGCTCCAGAGGACTCTGCTCCGATTTCGCCTAATGCCCGAAACTTGTTTGTCCCGCGACTGTTGCGCGGTTGCTCGCCGCTAATCCCGGGATCCGACTACCACTGCCACTGCCACTCCGACTGCTACTGCTCCTGCGACTGCGACTGACTGGCAAACTTGACACTTGACTCTGGTGGTTCCGTAACTTTTTCGCTTTGCTCGCACTTCTCGCCCAGCTGCTGTGGTGGCTTGTCGGGATTTGTCTGCAGGGAAATCGGTAAATGGAAACGGATTCTGAGAGTCTCCTTATCACCAAAAGTAGGACTCGCCCCACGATTTTTTACCTAAAAGCACGTGGCTTGTAGCTCAACATTCAAAGAGAAAACTGAAACTCCTTCCTTATAGGAAGGAAAACAATCTGTTTTCAAAAACATACTCTTTTAAAAAGATAAGAATAAGTATTTTAATCGATTACCAGATAATCCTAAGTAGATTTATTTGGATCCAAAGTTTACAAATCTCACCTACTCATACATAGGTGTAAGCTAAGATACACTTCAGATAACCTACATACCTTTAACATCATTAGACCAAAAGGCCAAAAGTCCTCGCTCCCAGTGCTACACCCACTAAGTAAGTTTAGTTGGTTAAACTTATCTACCTTTACCAAAAATAAAAACAATTAAAAACAGAGTCATAGCTGTCCTCTTTCCGATAGTTCATAAAAACACGCACTTCTCCCTGTCAATCATATTCTAATTAAATGCCAAAAATTAACATATTTGTGATTTAATTTTTGAAATATTTTGGCACTGGAATGTTGTTTCTATTTTTTGCAAATCATCGGAAATTGTAATTGATTTCATGATGCGTACGTAGTTTAGTTTCGATTTTGCAGAAAATGCTTTAAAAAGAGACGAATGAGTTCGGTTCCAGGTTCAATCCTCGTCAAGCTTCCCCTCTGCCATTCCAGCTGCTTTTATCTGATTTCTGCCCGTCTGACATAATAAAAATGTCAAACTCCTTATGCTGACGCTTGTAATACATTTTATTCATAAAATGTTTTTTTTTATGATTTCAGCCCGAGTCCCGACCCTCGTGACCGCGTAGCCCAGCTTATATCCCGCCATCCACTCACTGCCATCCGTTCTTTCTCGTCTTGAGCTTGAGCTGGTCTGTGTGCAACATTTGTTAGGACTGATGATGATGATATCCCGGGAAGGACGCGAGGGTGCCCAAAGTGCTCCACTTAAGTATGCTATGTAAATCACCTGTGCGATTGCCCCGCTCCCCTCCGAGAACCACCCACCACCCCCAGGTGACACCACCCCTGTGGCCCCTTTTTCGCCGGCGGTTGCTAGCCAAGCGGCATGTCAGTGGCGTCATTTTCTTTATGTCTTGCAGTTTGTTTGGCCCACGGCGTCCTCGCCGGCGCGAAACCTTTGCCAGGGATTCTATTTAAACAGCATTATCTTCAGTTGCCGCCTGGCCCCATCCC